CCACTGTGTGTGAAGGACTTCCTTCCTTTATTTACATATCAGATAAAACATTGGTCCTGTTGAAATTAATATCAAATTTCCATTGAGTTTAGCCATTTCACCATTTTGAACACAGCTGTCAAAAACAGATGTAGTTTCTGTAATATGACAGAGATAATATTAAATACAAATTTTATAATCCTTTCTCTCAAGTTTCTGAAAAGTTCCAATGGTCCTTTATATCCCTTGAGATCACCTCCTGAGCAAGGACAAAAGCACAGTTGTCTGCATATGATGGTATCTGCAAATGTTTTTAAAAGTTAATCTCTCAATTTTACCTGAAAAATCTGATCTCTTAAGCATTCTCAGAGCACATCCACCTGATCAATTAAACTTGACACAAAATCAAGCTGATGGCACCGTCTTCCTGCAATTAGAGTTGTTCAGGGTGTTTGATATATGATTAACTCTTTTTCCAGCCTATTCTAACTAGCAGCTAAGAAATTGAGTATTCCTAAATAAAATGGTGTTTTCATATCTCCTTCTGAAGGTATTTCATTTTCCATGGAATTATTAGATACTCATAGGCACAAGAGAGAATGCTCTAGTCATTAGTCATGGTATAATCAAGACACTCCAGCTATTTGGGGGCAACCAATGCCACTTAAAAATCTAACACAGCAACAACAAAAAAGACATCCAAAGAAACAGGCAGTGAAATATGTGTAGACATAGGGTTAAAACACAAGTTTCCCCACACACAGTCAAACATATCACACTTTTCTTGCTCGCGAGACGTATTTTATGTCTGTAATCTTACTTCGTCTCAGTGTTTAACTATCCTGTATGAGTGGATTGTACACTCTATCTTCATCCTCACATGTTTTGCTAAGTTTGTGCCCTGAGAAGTTGAAGTTCATTGGGTGAAAGAAACAACTTAGCCCAGAGTTCCTGCTTTCTTTATCAGCACTCTAATGATCAAGCTAATGAAAGATGGGGCAGGTGACAGCATCGACAGTTCCTCCTCTCCACCTACTTCTCAAAGAAAAGGATGACGTCCTTTCATTTTTCACTCAAGCATCTAATTCCTGAAGGAAGTTTCCACCCTGTGAATTCCTGGCAGTATTTGCCACCAGCTTTGAATATTTAAAGTCCTAAATAGGCATGATTCAAACCATGGCATTTCCATGTGGCTGTTTCCAACTGGCTCTTTGCTTAGCCTGCTAGCCTTCTGGGGTTCCAGGAGAACTCCAATTTCTTGTAAGGGAAACCTAGGTGATAGCTTATGAATGGAAGACCTAACTCTTGTCACAAATTGTTTTTTGAGAGAATAGCTCTTTAAGCCTTAAATTATTTTTTAATTGTTGATTGCACATCACAACACTTGCATGCAATGTCTTTCCTGTACAATCCTCCTGCTACCCTAGTTCTCAACATATTTTACATCAAAACACATCCTCTGCCTGGTGCTCTGTGAAAGCTGATTTGTTACTCTTACCAAGAAGTGCAGCTTTTAACATTAGACATTATCACTTAAGCTTTTGATCTTGTCTTTGGTCTCTTTTCTGCTTAGAAATATTCTCATTTTATGCTTCTACAGTAAATAAACACTAGCTTCTGAGGAGTATTAGTCCAGCAGTTAAGTGCATTTACTTCCCTGCTATGGTATCAAAAAACCCCTCCAAATGAAATATGAAGTGCCTATAAATAAACTAGATTAAAATTAATCTCAAAAGTTATTCAGTGTTTGATTGGGCCCCCCCAGAATCTACTGAATTTGATTAGTCTAAATTGTATTGACTTTCAATACATTCAGTGGAGTATACCTCACCATTTTACTTTGTGAAAAGTACTTTGCAGGCTACACCATGCTTCATTCACCATTGTATGACCTCAAAACAAGTGGAACAGTGGGACAGTGGGATAAGTCATGTCAAAATCACATGGATGGCATTCAGCTGAGTACATGCAGACTCTTACAATGTAGACATTTACAGCTAAATGAGATACCCGCTGGTCCTGTTACAGTCAATGGAGAGAAACAGGCATTTCTAGGATGCAACTTGGCTTATTCTAATGTAGACATCTAAAATAGGTTAGATGAATCATACACTAAAAGTGCCTATTTCTGGTTCCCTTTATGCTCAGTGGAGAGAGTGACTAGCTCAGATGCAGACATTCACATAGTAGACATCTAAAGTTAGGTGAGATGAACAACCAAAGATGTCTTTCCACATCACTTTTAAATGTCTGCTTTATGAAAAAAGTCAAAGAATTATTTTCAGCTAACACTAGCCTTTCCCAGTGTATCAGCTCTCTGAAGTATTTTATTTGTAACCTCTTCCTAAAAACACTTTTCAATATCCAGATCACAACTGATACCCATCACAGACAAGTTGTTGCTAGATTTTTTTTTCCTTTGTCACAATACTGCAATCATAAATCAATTTTGTAGCTAAATAAATATGTAAATATGTTGTGTACCTGATCAGCACTTCCCTAAAGAAAGACTACAAAAAACTCCAACAGATCAATATAGAAGAAAGCAGGAGATGATGGCTAAAAAACCCAAGGTTGGTAATAAAGGAATGTGAAGACTATGTTTGGAGCTGCCCATCCATGGATATGGTTGCAGCAGACAGTGAGAAGAAAGGCTACAAAAAGTATGATGACTACAGAAAAGATGCAAGGCAGCAGAGAACTCTGAAAGCTAATATTCCTTCAGCCACAAGACTTCTGCTTATCATAATGGCTATTGTTGTCTATGCCACCAAGCTCACCTGCTCCTTTTTGCTTGGTGCCACCATCCTACTGTCAGTATGGGTAGCAGTCATCCAGACTAGCAGATGCCATCATCAGCATCACCAGTAGCTCCTAGGTGTATAAACCTTTGAATTTACTTGTTTACTAATAATTATGCCACAATTTGGAAAGATCTACTTTCTGCTATTGAATGTATGTATTTGTTTATCTATGTAATATAAAAAAAATACAGATTTAAAATTCTCAGGGGAATCACAATGGTGTAATAATATCACCTGCAACACTTCAGCTTCATCATACATCAGTAGGCGCTGTTTATTATCTCAATATAGAGTTGTTTATTATGCCCTCTCTGCAACAGTAAAATCTCTTCATTTACATAGGTTTTGTGGTCTAATTTCCACCAAGTTGTTTGCCACATCCCACTGGTTTGTGTTTATGAAGTATCGTATGCTGGCCATCCAAATACTAACCAGATCTTTGATCCGGCATTTTAAGAAAGGTAAACTTTCAACTCAAATCATTCCCCTCAAGTGTCCTGCAGTTCTATAGTCCACCTCCTGAAGGTTTGGGTCACCTTGTTGCCTATAGAATCCATCAGGCATGCAAACAGACAGATAATTTCTCAGGCAGTTTTCTCTCTGCATTTTATACCTATATTTTCATGAAGCCAGGAGTGGCTACATGATCTCCTCCTGATGGAACACAATATCATGGAAGAAAAATCAGGCAATATCCTAGCATTTTAAGGCCATCTCTGTATACACTGACACACATTTACTTAGACTGTAGTGTTTTTGTAGTTAAATAAATCAGTTGGAATCATGGGAGTTGTACAGCAAAAAATTGTTAGCAAAAAAAATGAAAAAAAACAAAACGAAAGAACATTTAAGACTTCTCTCTATATAAAATATTTTTTCTTCACATTCATCTAATCTTCTTTGCATATTATGGTCTCAAACATTAATATCCTGGCCTCAAATTGATAGGAGTTTGAATATCTCCAAAGTCTGAATCAGTAATGTCTGACTTATTGTTTGACCCTTGGATATTTATATTCATGTGCTATATCATTTACAGAATCTGTTATTCATCTCAAGTGTTGTTTTCAGAAGGTCAGATGTTCAGATTTAACTTGCCGGAGTCATAATGTGGTTTCTGCAGAGATGCAGGGTAAGGGTTATTTGCTCATCTTAGGCATTGTGTTTTGCACTATTAATTTATCACCATAGAGTTCACCTTGAGAGCTGTTCCCTGAAATGTATAATGGTTAACCACTACAGAAGTTGCCACCTTGCAATGCACAAAAGGCTATTCCTACAACGGCATATCCAAAGGCAAATTCAGCAGCAGCAGTTAATCACATTTACTACATGTTAAAGGTACAGTTGGGTTAATTTCGAGCGATACCGAGCACAGCCCATCGAAGTGTCAAAATTACATTAAAATCATTTCTGATGTCGTGCATTAAACGAACTGACGTGAAAGGAAAGGAGAGCTCTGTGACAGGTGTGTTCAGCAGAAAGGTTTACTTGGAATAAGCCCCGTCCCGGCCCTTCTCCAAATGGTGTCAGAGCTTCTCTTTCAGTGATCGCATCCAAGCGCCCGCCTTCCTGAACTTGTGAACTGTAAATTTAACGAGTTCAACAGGACAATTCTCGAGTGTAAAATAATATCCTTGTCTCCAGTTTGGGAACTTGCTGAAACCATCTATTTAGAGGGGCATTGCAGGGCTAAAATAATGCGGCTATTTAAAACACCGCCCTTGCCGGGGGGGGACGGCCCCGAGGGTGCCGCGGGGAGCGCTCGGCTGTCCCGGCCGGGGGAAGGCACAGGGGGGCCCGGGGCCTGCCGGGCACGGGCGCTGCTGGGGCGGCTCAGGGCCGGGTCGGTCCAGGAGCCCCTGAGCGGTGGCACAATGGCGATTCCACCCTGGCTGTAGCCGAGTGGCGGAGGCAGGGACGAAACGGGGAGGGAGGCAGGGATGCTCAAGATGGAAGCGCCCCGCGCCCCCTCAGGTGCGAGGGGCCCGCGCCCCGCCCCAGCCCCGCCCCGGCCCTCGCGCCGTGCGCGCGCCCACCCGGCGCGGCTCGCGCAGACGCGCGCGCCTTTCCCGCCCCCCCCCGCGGGAGAGCGCGTTCCCCGCGCGGGGGCGGTGCGGAGGGGAGGGCATAGCGCGGGAGCGCGCCCGCCGCGGCTCTTCTCGCCGGGCTGCCGAGCGGGCAGCAGCAGCAGCAGGAGCAGCGGCAGCGCCAGTACCAGTACCTCCTCGACCCTCTTCTCCCCGGGCGGAGGGGCCGCACCTTCCCGTGAGTACCGACCTCCCTGTCTCTGTCACCGCGCATCACGCTGAGGGAGCTGCCGCGCCCGCCGTCGCGCCGGTGTCACATCCCGCCGGTGTCACATCTATCCCTCCGCACCGCCGCTTCCACACCCATCCCTCCGCACCGCCGCTGCCACATCCATTCCCCCCGCAGCGCCGCCTCGACGGTGAGGAGCCGCCCGTCCTCCGTGGGTGCCGGGGCTCCTCCGAGGGGGCGGGCGAGGAGGAGCCCGCCCGGTGCCGCGGCGGCCGCTGCGGGGCTTTGTTGCGGCGGCGGCCGGTGGCACCTCCCGGGGCGGGCGGGTCGGGGCCGGCGGGCCGGGCGGGGACGCTCCGCGGCTGCGACGCGCCCACATCCCCGGGCGGGCTCGGTCGCCATTTCGTGCGCTGGCCGGCGGGGGCGAGGGCCGGGCGTGTGCGGGGGAAGGAGCTGTCGGTGCTGAACTGCCGCCGTCCGCCTGCCGGCTCTTGCGCCTTTATTTCTTTATTTATCGCCCGTGCTTTTTTTTTTTTTTTTTTTTCCCCCTCCTCACAGTTGCGATTTTGTTTAGGTATAAAATATCTACAATGTGTCTGAATTGCGGGCTTTTCGTGTTTTCCCTGTTTTGGCTTCTTTGGCTTCTTGATGGCGATTAATGCAGAATATCGTGCTGAAGTCTGTGCAGCGAGTGCACTTGTCTCTTTGGTTACAAACTAATAATTAACCAAACCTTCAGCTGTCTCTGAGATCTTCAGCATAGATGTGTTAGTTTTGAAGTCTGAAATGTGTTTAAACCAAGGCTTTGGAATCTAAGTGTAAACAGTACCTGATTAATAATGCCAAGCTGTTTAAATATTTAAGAACATAGTGTGTTTCAGCCCAGTCAATAAGACTGTTCCATATTGACAAGTACTCTGTGAAAGGAATGCTATTGCTTAGCTCTCTGTGTAGTTGGATAAAACAATGGAAAATGTGATATATAGCTTTACAGTGAAACCCATAGATCATGACATGATGTTCTTTTATCCATAAAGGTCCAGCTTTTTTGTGTTTATTCAAAGCAACCTCCTACTGAGTGAAAAAGCCGACATTAAACACCTATGTTTCTTCTTTCTTATTTTCCCCGTCTTTATGCATTTCTTTCTCTGTGTCTGATTTTGATTCTTAATTAAGTATATTGTGGAAAAGGAAGATGAAACCTGAAAACTTTATTGTACCTAATAGGTGCACTATTAATCATTTCAACGTTAATTTATGGATAGCAATTATATGGGTCTGTGCATAAAAGAGGTCACCATACGACATCAGAAAGCATCTGGACTGTCTTTTGAATTTGAGAGCAGCTTATATGCCAAGAGCTCAGTGTTGCTGCTGTTCTTTGGCAAAAGATAACAGCTGGAAAGAGAAGGATAGTTTAGTGTTATATAGCTCAAAGGATCTAGAAATCAGAAAACTCACTTTCAGGTGCCGCATCTTTTTAATATTTGTTTAATGTGTTTGATATTATCATTTGTGTGAATATACCTCAGGCATTTATTTACTTTTGAAAAGAAATTGCAGTGCAAGTGAGCAGAGATGCTAAAGAGTGTGATGCTGAAGTCTGTGAAAGTTGCTTATTTGAATTTCAAAGTACTTTGAAATTCTCTTGAGTGTCTAAAATTAGCTGTCAGACTATATCAGTATAGAACTGGGAAAGTGTTACATTCTGAGAATATTGAATGTAAAGAAGCAAACCCAGAAAGCTGCTGGGTGGTGACAGAACTTGGGATCCATTGAATGAATTCACATTCTGGGATGTGCAAAGGCAGTGTAGCTAAAGGCAAACTGTACAGCTGTGTGACCACATCGGATGGTGGAGTAGTATATACCAGCTGGTGCTAAGGATGGAGCTAAAACCTTCTTCACAACTCGTAGATAAATCCACAACTAATCATACTCGTATTAGTATCTTAGTTCTGTCATTAGTATTACTGGCCACAGTACAATTACTCAAAAATAATAATGTTCAAGGTGAATGAGATCACCAGAATGTGAGCCTTAGATACTGTTCCTTATCTTTTTGAAGAAAGCGTATTATTTATCACATATACCACAGCTTGTTTGACGAAAAGGGCTGTAATAAGAAAATTAGGCTATTTTAAATGGTCTTTATTTTAATAACAAATAACAAATCCAATGATGCATACCGAGACCTCCTGCTAGCTTGTTGCACTCTAGTGTTTCTCTCTAGCGCTCAAGAAGGTGACAGCAGAAGCTTTAGTAACCAAGTTAAGAGTTTCTTAGGGGTTAATGAGATGTCTCTCCAATTGTCAGATTTTATTATTTTGAGGATTCTGATTTCAAATCAGGAAACAGTAATGCATGTTGCCCATCCTTCCTGCTTTAGTGAGAGGACTTGCCATGATATCTGGACATAAAAGATTGAATACACTAAGGGTCTGGCATTTTTAAAATAGATTACTGCACAGCTCAAATAGCTCAATCAGCCTAAAAATTAATTGTGTTTTGCCTGCAGCTGCGAAATTGCTGTTATTCTGTTGTTTTGTTAATCTGTCTCAAATCACCTTAAATTGTGCATACTTCCATTATATTGAAATGGTACAGTAAAATTGTGCTGTTCAGTTTTCGCTGGACTTGCTCGTTTTTTCCTGTTTTATGAACAGAGATGGTAAAATGGGAAGTCATACAGAGGAAGGTATATCTTGGTAATGAAAGCTGAGGGAATAATGTAGGAGATAGTGTTGGGCAATATGCAATGAATTTGATTTTGCTTTCCTGAGTGGGCTGATAGTATTTAAAAAATTCCATTATACTTTCTCTGCAGTTATAATTAGTTGCATTTTAAATTGGCGTGTTTATTGCCTGTTCAGTTCAGTATTAAGGACATTGCAACTTCTGCATTTATGAATACTATCTCATAAATGTAATATTAAGGGAATTTGTAAAGAGTTAATCTCTAATAATAAGATTAACATGATGCACTGTCCGTTTTGTCCTGCAGTTTGTTAACCAGGAAAGGATAGTTGCAAGCTAGCTATATTGCTTTCTTCTGAGCTACTGGAGGCTGGCTGAGCTTTCAGTTATTTACCTCAATAGAAAAACTGAAAGGGAAAAAGTGAACAAAGGAGGTCTGTTTTGCCTGTCCCACTTGCTGGGCTGTTGTCTTTGCCCTTTTCAGTGAAGGAGGGGGTAGAGCTGGGTCAGAGTTGAAGAACACTGAAAAGGAATTCAAGTCTTATATTGAAATGTGAATGATAGCTTAGTTTGAGTGCCGAACGCATTTGCTTGAATTGATTTTTTTTTTCCGTCTGCGGGAGCTTTAACTGACAGATGGTGATGGACTGCCATATAGACTGCTAGAAGGTACAGCTTAGATATGTGTTCAGAGCCTGATTAGATGCTCAGTAAACAAATGCATATCTGATGGGACTTTTAATACTGGAGATACTGATGCTAGACACTGTGTGACACACTAGACATTTGATTGTGTGAATTAAGGGCAGACCCCTGCAGCTGGCATACATTCAGGCTTACTTGTCTAGCCTAATTGCATTGCAAATACTCCTCTGGATTGATCTTTAGCTTCTCCCTTCTAGTAAATGTTGAATAAGTACAAAAATGTTCATCTGGATCCTCTATTAACTGTTGTTAAGAAGCTTTCAATTTTTTTTTTTTTTTGTTTGCTGTATGAATTGGGATGTATCTTAGTATTCATTTTGTGAATACACTGTTTTCCTACACTGTTTTGGTTTTGAAATGGCTCGATTCATAATGTGATTACAGCTTTCCCCTTGTTAACTTTTTAGTATGGAAGCATAACAGCTTGAATTATAAAATGTTTCTGTAAGAGCTCACAGTACCCCCATTCTCCTTTAAGCAGCTAAACTTTATATAAAAAAGCAGCATTTGATGTGGAGCATCTCAGATGCATAAAAATAGCCAAGAGAGGAAAAAAGGCTAGTTCAAGTTATGAGGACGTGATAACTTTAAAAAACAGTCTCATTAGAAAGGAACTAGCTGTCTAAATTGTCAGTTACATCAGACAGAATTGGTACAGATGTTGTCTCTCTAAATTCTGTAAATACTCATGTAAGACTGCTGAATTTGGATGCATCCCAATAGGAAGTGAGTTGCCCTTATACTTTGTCTGCATCACTAGGTATACATGACCTTTTAATTTCCTTGGGACTAGAGTATGTAATTGTTACTGTTCAACAGCTTGTTTGAGGAAATAAAAGCTGATCCATAACTTCCCAGTTGTATGAGTTAGTCTTTGGACACTAATTAGGTTTTTCCGGACCACCAACCAAAACATTAACATACCACTTTCTTTTAGACTGTTACCTAAGTGAGGACATGGCAGTGTTTATACACGAGTACAGATTGTCTTTTTCTGATGTGTTTGTCCAGCATGATTCTGAGGGTTCATGTAAGGGACTGCCTTTACAGTGTCACAATACTGTAGGGCTCTGTGTGTGTCTGTGTATTTGCAAAGGTGGTGTGTAATCAGTGAGTGCAAAAGTCAGCCTTTTTACCAGATTTGGAGTCAGGAAACAGTTCTGCTGGTGGAGAACAATTCCATGGAGTTAACTGTCCAGAGCACAGGTGCTGGCCAGGGGAAGGCTTCCCCACTGAGTATTGTAGCATGGGCAAGGTAGTAGAAATCAACAAAATTCAAAAGAAGAGGAAAAAGAAATCATGAGATGGACCACTTTTCAAGAATGTTTAAGAGTTAAGTGTTGTTCATCAGCAGGCTCGTACACAAGTTATCCTTTGTAACAAGATCAATGGTTCTCTTCCCTGTTTGTCCAGTGTTTAGAAGGACTAAAAAGTGGGGTTTGCCCCTCTCCTGCTGTTTGTATCTCTAAGATAATGTGGGAGATGCTTGACGTGCATTCCTTCTTACAATTTTCAAGTGATAGGAGGAAGAGGAAAGCTTGGCCACAGCTGCTCTTTGGGGGCAATGAACAGGTTTAGTGACTTGGTTACTGCCACTTTGAGTAAAC